ATGTAAAATTATAAAATCTACTACTTACCAGTAAATGTTAACATGGCCCCGATTGTTGCTCTTTGGCAAAAGTGTTGCATTAAATAATTGTTATTAACCAACAACATAGCGAAATAATTCAGACGATGTTGACCCATTGTTGAGCTCAAATAGTTCTTTAGACGTGTCAACACGGTAAATGGGAAAATCAACGCTCAGAGGAACAGTTAGTTACAGCGAAAAAATGGCAATGCTATTACTATATTTGGATATATGAAACAATGAATGTCTTATGTATCAACTCCAAATATATCTGATTTATTGTTTTCTTTCCTAACACACTTAATTTTTAGATAGTTTTTTAAGTGAATCAGCTGATCTAAAAAACATTTTTCTAAATCCCCTTCATAAAACTTTTGAGATCTTGGGCACTTTTACGGAAATCAGGTACATCAATTGTGTAAAAAACAACCGAATTTTTTTAAAAAGTCTACGTAAGCGGTCTTTCCTTCTGTGATTTTCACTAATAATTTGTCATCAGTTCTTATGAAAGTATTAGTTTTAAAATAGTCTTTTCTGGTGAATGTGACTCCATTATCTCTATTTGCATAGGCAAATAAATTTATGTTTTCGTTCACGAGGTATTAAAGTTTCAAATTGCAAATCAACTTGACCAAGTTTCTTCCTAACGTTCCCTTAGTAATCTTCATACATACCTATTTCATTGATCAATAAATCATATGATTCCATGAATATAACTACTTACGTATCTAAAAAATTTCAGGACTTTGGAGTTTCTTGTAAATGTAGACGGTTTTTCTGTTATGTTATCTTTTGTTAAACTTAAAGGACAGTCGCTACGTTTACCGGATTTTCAATAAATTCTCAGAATGTAATATCTGCATTATTAACAGACTTAGTTATTGCTGTGAAATTTTAAACATAACCTTCCCACAACGTTCTCTATTATAACGCAAGGGCAGTTTTCTGAAAAGCTGTTTAGCGTAGTCTTTTTTTTAATTTAAGTGAAATTTTTCCGTCAGGTACACTTATGTAAAAATCAAAGTCTCAATTATTTTTAAAAATTTCGGAACGTGGAGATTCAGTAAAAAGAAACTTGTGTCGTAGAATAAGCTACTAGAAGATTTTGTTGAATGTATGTCATTTTCAATAAAAAAAAGTCGACAGTCTATTCGGTACGATTTCTAGAGTTTTATAAACTGAACACAGTGGTGCAAAACGTGTTCCAAAATTTTTAAAAATAATTGAGATATTGGTTTTTCAAAATAAAATTAAAAAAATAGATATGGATATTAATTGTTTTTTAAAAAACTGCCCCCGAATTATATAATGAAAGTTGTGGACGGGTTATAAGTATCGTGTGATCAAAAATGGCTAAGGGGGTAATTACAAGTTGGATTTGCAAAATCGCAAGTGCCGTTGCTATGGGAATTGCGATGACATGCGATTAGCGACTTGATTCGTTATCGCGGGTGCTGTCATCGCATCTTCCATGGCAACGGGGACTTGCGAAATAGTAAATCCAACTGGAAATTGGCCCATGAGTCTGTTGGCAGTACTTTTTAAACAAAAATATGAACTTTTCTTACGTTTATGTTGGCACAACGGAAGTAATTGTCTGACAGGTATATCAATCGTTTCATGTGATAAATTTAAGTTATGTTTTGGATACATTTTGCAAAATGTATTGATATGTATTCCCAATTTTTGCATTAGACATTTACGGGTCTGAGACAAATTTTTGAGGGCGGGAGATGAAGATATCTGATTATTTAAAACTTCCTATCTATATGTTGACTAAGGAAAAAAGACGTGTGATACAAATTTTGAAACGATTGGCAATAAGAACAAACTTCTGAAGAACATTCTTTCTGTAGCCGCTACTCCTACCAAATTTAAGGAATGTACCGCATAAGTCCATATACAGCTAGGTTATTTAATTTTCTAATTCTAGCTGGTAATCCGGCGTGTATACGAGACATATTACTGACATTATCCTAAGATTGTTCTCTGTAAAATTTTACATCCAAGTTATGTAGTGGCAATAAAAACATAATTGCTTGTTTTAAATCTTCAGCTTTGTGGCCAATATTACCAACAAATTCTAGAAGTCTTTCAACCGGAGAAACACAAACATATCTTTTAACAAAAAGTAAAATTGGTCCACATGTGATATATTAGGTGTAGAATCTATTATTATAGAATAGTATTTTACTGCTTTTACTTCTTCAGTGATAGTGTGAATAACTTTTTTGACAATTATTTGAAGAAATTATTTCTAAATTAAAAAATAAGTCTAGCCAAAATCTAGAAAAAATGTCAAATTCTGCTATTAGTTCTAGACACAATAAGTAAGTTTCGTTGTGGACTGAGCCCAGTGTTTCGTCGGTTATACGGAGAGGTAATTCTCTACTATAGTTAGAGCTTTATAACAACTTCCACAACTCTCTGCACAATATTTTTGTAGTTCATTTGTTTTTGGTTTTTGTTATCACTTTCATTTTTTAACGCTAAAATACAATTTTTGTGCTAAAAAAAAATCATGATCATCTAAACGAGCAACAATATTTTCCAATCGTTAACACCGTCTGTGACTAACCATATTACGGGTACTACTACTGAGATATTTTTTACAGTCACCGTATTTATAACAGAGCAATATAACTTCAAGTATAAAATCATCAATAATATTCCATTCGAGACGATCATCACTAATTATTACTTCTTGCATTTTTGTAGCAGCAGTACTAACACTGGTCTTATCAATAGGAACGCTTATTTGAACGACACCAGAATCGGCACTGGTCACTTGAACCACTTTCGACTTATACGTATTGTCTTGTTCTTTTGCATCTTTAACTGGACTCTCTGCGTCATCTTCATATTTTCTTTCGATGAAAAAATTTTCACTAGCTGATTTTTTGAAAAACTTTTCTGTTTTACTGGTGTGACCAATAAGTTTCGCTACTCTTTTTGATTTCACTTAGGAGCGTTTTTTGTGTTCCGTCTTCTATCGTCACTCATTATTAAAGTTACGAAGGCAAGGAATACCGTGTTTCAGACGAATTAAAAAAAAAAGTCCATTGCAAACTGAAACCGAAAGATGTTTATAGGTATGTTTTGATTTTTAATTAATTTTGTCTAAGTCTGCCCTTCTTGTCTTCTGTCTTTCTTGGATACAATAGATGAATAGATTTTATTTCCACGTTTATACTTAATTTTATGGCACGGTTTCAGTTGCAAATTCCATGAAAATGTTCCCACGGGTTCAAGAATTGCTTACTATTACCGTAAAACAGACAACCAGCCGGAAAAAATATATTATCATTACATGCTTAATTGCTTGTTTATTTTTACAAATCGAAAAAATGCGATGATTAAGCACGTAGCAAGCTGTTTGTTTTGAATAATTTTATCTCCTCAAAACAGAACAGGAGACTAAAATAAATATTAATTAAGCTAAAAGAGGCAAAATTTTCTGAACATTTTTTTGGATAAGTAGATAGCTGTATGTTATTATTTTCTGATTTGATCAACTAAAAAAGTAGAGATCATGACTCAATCGAACCAGCGACTTTCGCATTAGTAATTCAACATTTTTACTACCACCGGATTTACCACACATATGTGCTCTTATACTAGTATAAAATGTGATAAATGATAATGCAATTTGGATTTTTTTTGCGAAATTGAGGGGACGGTATCAAATTTGTGGTGGGAATGACTAACTAAATTTTGGATAGCGTTTTACCATTTACATGATATTCCTAAAATACATATAAAATTTGACTTCGGACAGTGGACAGACGGCAACCGGCAGATCTATTTTCCGTGCTCTAAAGGTCATGAAATGTTGGGAAACTCATGAAAATAGCCATTCGCCCGATGGGTCCTATTGTAATAGAATATTATTATACAATATTTCCTTATCCTAATAATAATAAATAAATAATGTGACTAGCTTCCATTCGTCAGAAGAAAACCAAACTAAATATAAAATATGAACAATATAGAAAATACATACACATATGGGTAAATAATGTAAATGTATAGAATCTACTCAAACGATACATTATACTTAGGTAAATTAAAAGAAAATACATTTGCACAACAAAACACAAAGGTAAAGAAAACAGATGTTAACCCAGTTATTCCACATCACATCACTATTGAGATACTCCTCAATAATGTAGAAAACACGCTTGCACAAAACGATCCTTCTTTTCTTAACATTTTATCGGTCAAGCTAAGCCTGAGTAAAAGATGAGTCCAAAATTAATTGAAACCTAGTCTAGTGACATTGAGTCGTAACAACTTGAGTCTAATTTTCTTAGGATATTTATTTATAACAAAAAAAAATGTTTTGAGTGTTTACATTAATGTTAATAACAAATTTGGTATTATCACTGCACCTGTGATTGCATTTTGGGTAAACGCATTCATATTTGAAAAAATTAAAACAATAGTAAAAAAATATCTATTAAGCATACAATGTGAATAGCTAACATATAAAATATTAACTGATTACCCAAATATTAACTTGTTACTGAAATATTTTTGAGGTACTAATTTACAAAGTAAAATGTAAATGTGACAGAGGACAGGTAGGTATAATAATTGTGCAATGTGCATATTTCCCCTCCATAATAAAACTATTTATGTTAACGTTTGAGTAATACCGAACGGGAAGTTTAGCCGCGGAATACCCCAAAATCCAGTGATTTCTCGCCACAGACAAGCGTTTCCAGCATGATAAGCAAATAACGTCACGGGATGGTAATAGGTACCGCGTTAAGCTCTAATTACACAATAAAAAGTGGAAGTAAAGAGCGAAGTAAAAACGCAAGCAAAAAAAATCAATAGGAACTGTATCATCGAAATGATTTGATTAGTTTTGAGTAAGTCGCGTGTCGTGGGTGTCAAACGCTTGCGCGTTGAAGTACCCAACAAATCGCCTATCTCTTCGGCGCTCTTGTGTTTGTACGCCTGGCAGTCTCAGTCGGCGTGTGACCGTTGTCAAGACGACTACGCAACAAGTGAATCACGGTACACCCACCACATGGTGCTTTTATACGCCTTCAGCAGCAAACCACAAGCGATAAACATCAAACCTTGCCCTAAGTGCCTTCGAATCAAGGAAAAATCACCAACTTTTCCCAAAAACAACGCAACCAGTAAACATTCTTCGGACAATATAAGTGACATTTGACTGTTACATGTAAATATTTAGTGTCTAAGTCAACTCACGTGTTTTTGTTTACTTTGCCAGTAAACTGGGGATGCTCATCATCTCGGTTAGTGATATTATCAAAGCAGAAGTGTTTCCCGCCTTTTTCGAACGAGCGTACACTTGCCGCAACGAAGACATTTGTGAAACGCATTGTAAATAATGTTATGACATTTTGAGAATTTGAAATTAAATCGTGTATATTGTTACGCACGAATGGTCAAGACAAACATACTTCAACGCAAATTGAATGTGATTAGTTGATTTGTATTCAAGTGCATCTGTGTGTATTCATCACTATCACCGGTGATTTCGACTTTTGTGATTTGTGTCTTTAAGCTCTTCGTGCTTGCCACCACCCGTGCCTTGATCTTCAAAGCGCCGATTTTCTGGTATTTTCCGAAAATAAATATGTTCGTGCATTGAATTAATTCAAGGCAGCTCACTTTAAAGAGCAAGGTTGAAATCGGAATTTGTGACTGATTATCCTATGGAACTCTCGGATCGCCGAGGGTGTGTGTTTTTCTAGTGCGCCCTTCGGGGCTATGGATACGGGGGCTTGTTGTGTAGCCCCCTCGGCGACGCCTCGTTCAGACGACCAAATCGTCCCAGCTCATCCAGGAGACTGCTGGAATCCGCACCAGAACAACCATTCACAACCCTTCGTCGACGCTTGGCTTCTACAAATGCAGGTAGGAAACATGGGAAGCCCCTGATACACGAAACGCGCTAACCATTAGGGTACTGTTAAAGAAAATTGTAGGTATATTTTATATGTCTACATGGACGTAATGGCCAAAAACGACCTTAATCATAAGCATGAGAGTGTATATGAGTCAGTTATGCCATGCTGAAATTTGATATGGTGTATTGTGTAACAAGATTTAATGTGATATGATATATTAATGTTGTGGTTTATATTTAACCAACAGTAATGATAAAGAATGCAAATTTTTGATTACTGCTCATTGCATTCATTACCCTTATCCACCATGAAACATTTTTATTTTTAACGCAAGCAAAACATGTAATCGATCTGTATGACTACAGTACTGCATAATATGGAATAAATTCGCTATAAAACGGAAGTTAAACGGTCTTGGCAGCACTGAAAAACTGATAGGTATATCCTTTTTTTAAATAACAATTTTTATTTTGTGTGTCTATATTTATAATTACTGAATGTATTAGTAGTGCAAAATTTGTAATGCTGTTCCTTGAGGAACAAATGAGCAATTGCAGCTCATAGGATTTTAAAATTAATTATTAAATTAAAACATAACAATGTTAGTGTAAAGTTATTTTTAATCCACTATGGAAGCTCCGTTGCCAGAATGATCAATAAAACTATTAGTTTAAAAGATTTCCATCCTGGGTGAGGAGACTCGATCATCAGACATTGTGTCTATTCAGACTCTTTCGTGGCTAAATTGAGCAAAATTCAACTGTTGTTTCGGTTATTTATGAGAATCTGAAGGAATTTCTGTGGAGCTCATGGTCGAATTAAATTTATTGATCCAGTCTATAAGAAATCCATAATTCTTTTCAAGTTTAAAATGATTAATTACAAGAAGAATGTTTGAATTTATGCATGTGATATTAAAAATGGTTTTCTGTTTTTTTTTTTCAGAGAATTGTTAAAACATTATTCTAACATAATCGTGTTTGGAAAAAAAATCTAAAATGCCTCGGAACCTAGTATTTAGTTTGTCTATCTTTAATTTTGTTTTAGAAAATATGCTTTTTAAATCGGCTATTTAGAAAATTTCATTCCTGAATTTTCGTCGAATTTGTGTTATATTTTACGGTCAAACTGTATATTTATTCTGTGCATGGTATATTTTTAAATAAGATACCATCATTGTTTTTTTTTTATGAAGACCACTATACAAATAATTATTCATATATATAGCAAAAGTAAAGTATAATAACCAGCATTCATAAAAAAACTTATAATTTCAAAATCAGAACTTAAGCTTATTTTCTTTGTGCCAGGGAATTTAATTTAATATTACAAATTCTAAAAATTTAAAATTAAAATGTGAAAATAGCTGTATCTTTGGTGATTACTTGAATACAAAATTATATAATAGTACTGTTAATAATGTCTGCTTCTTTGGATCACTTGAATACTTCGGTCCAAATTATCTGGGTAATTGCAGATGAACGCAGGTGAATAATTTTACAAATACAATTTTTATAATTTTTGTCTTTAACCGGTATAGAAACCTTTCACTGTTTCACAACAGTCTAAGGAACAAGTTCGGTGAAAACGAACCCTCAGCCGTCATATACTCATAAAACCAATTATTATCAATTTTGTAGTCAATTACAAGAAAATAATGTAAACCATAATTTTTACCTGGGGCTACACTTTCCAAAACTGTGTAAGATGTTGGTGCAGAAAAGTTGTACCGCTTATGACAAACTTAAACTATTGGGGTCCAATATTTAAATTGTGGAAGTAACAGTAACTTTAATTCAATTAAACTACAACAATTCCACGAGTAATCAAGTATACCTCTCTTATTAATTATTACATTTCAGCTTCATTATAACCTTAATCATTGTCTTGTAAAACAGTCGGTACATTTCTGTTTGTTAATGTTCTGTTTAAAGGACCTTTGTTAATTATTAAATCTGTGGAGACGTAATTACAAAAAATGTTTTTAGTTCAATGAAACTTCGGCGGTGTAAGTGGAGACGAGGCTGATTAAATTAATTTTATAGATAAGACGGGTCAAATTTAGTAATAATCACATACACAGAGTACCTTATCGTTTTAAAAACACCACAACCCATCAAAATTCTCTCGTTGAAGTTAGTTATAAAAAAATGATTATTGCAAATCAAATACTAAACATTCAGACATTTAGTTAGCACTATAATACCAACGAAAATAAAAAAAAATAGCAAAATAAACTTATAAATGACAATATAAAATACATATATGTAAAATCTTGATGAACAGGTTTCAAAATATTCAACGGGTTTTACTTACTTCTAATGCCACGATCACTCTTTCACTGGCAATATACATATGCAAATATATTTAAAAAAATATGAAAAGCTGTATAACTACGCTTCCGAAAATAATTGAAAACCTACTTTTATTTTCAACTGTGAAAATGAAATGGCAAAGTGGTAGCACTTCTTAAGTTTTCATGACGTTTTACAACTCGAAGAGTAGGAAATGTACATATATTTCCCATTTCAGTTATTCAGTCGTTTATTGATGACTTTATTAGACGTAAGTATAATTTTCGAAACTATTGTACCGATTACTTTAACATTTTAGGTGTTCTCTAATTTTACTGTGAAGATCCCTTTCGGTTGCTTAAAAAATGCAGCAAAACATATTTTGTACTCTCCTTTAACATTTTTTTTTTAATTTTATGTCTACAGTTTGTTCTAAAAAAGATGAAAGTTTTGCTATTAAATTTTATTGGAATAAAAAACATAAACTAAAACTACAAAAAAATTGGACGCTGTATTCCACAATAATTATAAAAACACATTATAAGATACGGTGTTGTTTATTTTTCTGTGATGTATTTTTATTGAATATCTGAAAACGGTGTACTTCCATTTTCAATATTTTTTAAAAGTGGTAATACAGTGCATTAAAAAATGTATTATTTATTTTGTTAATAAATTTAAATGATGCATTTATCTTCACTAAGAAAGGTCGAATATCGTCTTAAAAAATTACTGAAGAAATATTTTTCGAACAAAAACAATTCTGGGTAAATAACTTCACGGAGAATGAAATTGTAGCCATAATGTGGCTATAATTCTGCTCAGTAGTCCACAACTGCTATAAACAATTCTACTCAGTATTTTTGCTAAATTAGCTTCAATGTCCAGGTCAAGTTTCTTTCGCGAACTATTACAAAACTGGTATTCTTGGTTCAAGTACAAGCTTGAAAATTTAGAAAAAAAAGGCATGTTTTCATTAAAAAATATGTGCAGTTATGTTCTACATAATGTGGTACTTATTTGTCTCAGGCATGTACTAGTTTCATTTCTTTTTCGTCATTATCTTTACCAATAAAAATGTAGGTACCCGGTAGAAGGTTTGTTGCGTTGTTGACTCAAAGCGAAACGCAACAATACACATTTTACAAAATATGTAATAAGTATAAAATTGCTAGCCAAAATAATTTCACAAATTAAAGATTTGACAATTTGGAGCAAACTAAAAAAAAAACGTAAAAATTATCCTCAGTAGTAATATTTTCAAGACTAAAGATCTCAACTCTGACGCGATATTTTTTTAAGCGTGTACGTTTTATGCAATGGCATGATGATCGAAAAGTAACAAAAGCGTCTTAGGCCGAAGTAATAGTTCGAAATTGAAACCTGAAATCCCTCTGAATATAAACAGATTTTATAAATGGCGTCAAGCTGAGTCCTTTGGCCGCACTTATTCATGTTCACTCCTGGATACTTTTTAAAGTGACCGCATTTTTGATGCTGTCCTTGTCTAGCGTTGATGGTTCCTAGGGGCTATTTTAGATTGTGTGGGACAATGACAAGGAAAAATTAACATTTTACTTTAATTTCAATTTGTTCCGAGCATAAGGAATGAGATTTTCTTGCCAAATCATCGAGATCAATGTCGACAATAGCACCGACCTGTGATTAGAATTTTTAATAGTTACAAGCTCATTTGTTTCTGCATTTGTTTGCTACAATTGAGTAATTCGGCTTATCTGTCAAATTTATTTCTTTCCTAGAAAGTCCGTAACAATGCAGTTTGTAAGCGGACGCTTCACGTTGCGGTTTTCAGTGAATATAAAAAAACCCATGTCGGACGAATAATTTCATTGTGGGATTTTTTACATTTTGCATCATTGTCGAACAGTTATTTGAACGCAAATTATAGAATTAAAATAGTTTCGTTTTGATTTTATTTGGATAAAAGTTGCAGCACAAATATGGAGTCGTCCGAATACATGACGTATTAAAAAAGAAACGTACATGTTTGAACATACATACGAATAGTGTTGGCATGCAGAACGCTTGCTACATCTTATGCATTAAATTAATTTTCAGCAAACAATAAAGGGACAACGGTACAAACACGTTTTTTCCGTCTCATATATATGCACTGTGTATACGTATATTTTTTATCGTTAATATTTATCGAATACATTTTTGAGTCGTCATCATATTCATTGCATTTTAAAACTTGGCTATCGAAAATTTTAAACTCGCTTTTGCTTGTTACATAAATATTCAGCTTGAACAGACGGAAGCGTTAGACAACTTGGTAATCTAATCTGATGTCTTTCAAGGCGTGTTTAATAAATTTGTGTAAATTATTTATTAGCAACGATGCCAAAATTATTTGCTTCGTTTTTGGAATTATCTTAAGAATAACTTGCGGTTAAAAGCCACAGTTTCGAGGTTTTTTACCAATAAAAGAAAAAAAATCTAGATTTTATAATATCGTAGTCAAAATCTATAAGGACACAAAATTGAAATAAATGAAGATATATTTTGAAATCGTACCAAAGATTCAAACTAAAAACCAATAAAGACTCTTGATATATTCTGAAATCCAGTTTAAAAAAACATTCTGTTTGATATTCCACTTTCGAGGTCTAAATAAAAAGTGGTATTCATATAAATTGACAGTTATAATCGAGCGAACAGATAGTTCAGGACACATTAAACGTCGTTAGAA